AGTTCCTGTCACGAGATCTAAATCAAGTTAGTAATCTCGATGAGTTCGGCTAGCAATCTCTGAGAATTCTTGTCACGAGATCTAAGTCAAGTTAGATAACTTGATAAGTTAAGCTTGAAATCTCTGAAAATTCCTATCACGAGATCTATGTCATGTTAGATATCTTGATAAGTTAAGCTTGAAATATCTGGAAAAAATCTTATCACGAGATGTAAGTCAAGTTAGTAGTCTCATCGAGTTAAGCTAGAAAATTCCGAGAATTTCTGTCACAAGATCTAATTCAAGTTAGAAATCTCAATAAGTTAGGCTAGAAATCGCTGAGAACTCCTGTCGCCAGATCTAAGTCAAGCTAGAAGTCTTGATAAGTTAAGCTAGAAGACTCTGATAATTTCTGTCACCAGATATAAGTCACGTAAACAATCTCGTTGAGTTAAGCTAGAAATCTCTGAAAATTCCTGTCACGAGATGTAGGTCAAGTTAGAAGACTCGATAAGTTAAGCTGGAAGATTCTGAGAATTTATCTCACCAGATATAACTCTAGTTAGAAATCTCGACAATTTAAGCTAGAAATCTCTGAGATTTTCTGTCACTAGATCTAATTCAAGTTGAAAATCTCATTAAGTTAAGCTAGAAAACTCCGAAAATTTCAGTCACGAGACCTAAATCAAGTTAGAAGTCTCGATGAAGTAGGCTAGCAATCTCTGAAAATTCTTGTCACGAGATCTAAGTGAAGTTAGATATCTTGATAAGTTGATATCTTGATATCTTGATAAGTCAAGAAAAAATTTCAATACGTTATGCTAGAAATCTCTGAAAATTCCTCTCACGAGATCTATGTCATGTTAGATATCTTGATAAGTTAAGCTTGAAATCTCTGGAAAAAATCCTGTCACGAAATCTAAGTCAGTTTAGAAATCTCGATAATTTAAGCTAGAAATCTCTGAGTTTTCCTGTCACCAAATCTAAATCAAGTTAGAAGTCTCGATAAAGTAGGCTAGCAATCTCTGAAAATTCTTGTCACCAGATCTAAGTCAAGTTAGAAATCTCGGCAACTTAAGCTAGAAGACTCTGATAATTTCTGTCACCAGATGTAAGTCACGTAAGAGGTCTCATTGAGTTAAGCTAGAAATCTCTGGAAATTCCTGTCACAAGATCAAGTCAAGTTGGAAATCTCGATAATTTAAGCTAGAAGTCTCTGAATTTTCCTGTCACCAGATATAAGTCAAGTTAAAACTCGCATCAAGTTAGGCTAGAACTCTCTGAAAGTTCCTGTGACGAGATCTAAAACAAGTTAGTAATCTCGATGAGTTCGGCTAGCAATCTCTGAGAATTCCTGTCACCATATCTAAATCAAGTTTGAAGTCTCGATGAAGTAGGCTAGCAATCACTGAAAACTTTTGTCGCGATATCTAAGTCACGTTAGATATCTTGATAAGTTAAGCTTGAAATCTCTGAAAATTCCTATCACGAAATCTATTTCATGTTAGATATCTTGATAAGTTAAGCTTGAAATCTCTGGAAAAAATCTTGTCACGATATGTAAGTCAAGTTAGAAATCTCATCGAGTTAAGCTAGAAATTTCCGAGAATTTCTGTCACAAGATCTAATTCAAGTTAGAATCTCAATAAGTTAGGCTAGAAATCTCTGAGAATTCCTATCGCCAGATCTAAGTCAAGCTAGAAATCTTGATAAGTTAAGCAAGAAGACACTGATAATTTCTGTCGTCAGATGTAAGTCACGTAAGCAATCTCGTTGAGATAAGCTAGAAATCTCTGAAAAATCCTGTCACGAGATGTAAGTCAAGTTAGAAGTCTCGATAAGTTAAGCTGGAAGATTCTGAGAATTCCTCTCGCCAGATATAAATCAAGTTAGAAATCTCGACAACTTAAGCTAGAAATCTCAGAGATTTTCTGTCACCAGATCTAATTCAAGTTAAAAATCTCATTAAGTTAATCTAGAAAACTCCGAAAATTCCAGTCACGAGACCCAAATCAAGTTAGAAGTCTCGATGAAGTAGGCTAGCAATCTCTGAAAAATCTTGTCACGAGATCTAAGTCAAGTTAGAAATCTCATCGAGTTAGGCTAGAAAATTCCGAGAATTTCTGTCACAAGATCTAATTCAAGTTAGAAATCTCAATAAATTAGGCTAGAAATCTCTGAGAATTCCTGTCGCCTGATCTAACTCACGCTAGAAATCTCGATAAGTTAAGCTAGAAGAATCTGACAATTTCTCTCACCAGATGTAAATTTCGATAAGTTGATTTTTTGAGTTCTCCCAAAGCACTAACAAGTCCCTATTTTGGCCTAATTTTCTACGCCGCAGGCAAAGTTTTGGAAAAACGGCCAAAAAAGCTTATTAGGAACTTTTGGAAAAACTTGACAAAAGCTCGCACTTTTTTGTCGCGAGTTCCCCCCTCAAAATTAGTATATATGGGCGCAAAAGGCGCCTTTAGAAAATTTGTGCGATCCGTCAGCTGAAAATGGATATCTGAAAAAAGTTCAAAGGGGTCACCCTTTGGGTCGGCAGGGGTCAAATTTCTGAAGATAGTTGGGATTTTCCCGAAAAAAATCCGCTCATGACGAGATCTCAGACAAGTGTCAGAAATCTCGATGAAGTTTGCAAATGAAATTTTATATCTCGATAAACGTTAGAAATCAAGCTAGGAACTTGATTAAAAGTCTGGATTGAACTATACTCTAAATTAGTCGGTTTTTTGGGTGTAGCATCGTTGCTCGAGTTGGTCCCAGAGAATTCTGCTTGCATGCGTTTTTTCTCGTCTTAGAGCCCGTGAGTTGATACAAAAAGTGGCTAAGATTTGGATTCAGACTGAGCTTCTTCTTTATCAGAGAGTTCAATTTAGGCCCATTTTTGCTCATCTGTTCTCGCAACTTCATTGACGGCAAGTTCAACTCATCGGGCAACCTGTTTTTAATCCTTGTACCGCCCGCGCCGATGTGTTCGACTCATGACTCGATCGAAATAGTCCAACATGTTTATAACATGGGTCGAACAGGGTCGAATTGTGGATGATAACACTCAATTCCAAAAAATTTCAATCGCAAACTATCTCCTAAAAACTTTAAGATGGGAGGACTTTTGTTGTGAGAGCGAAAGAATTTCAGAAAAATTGTCAAAATCAAAGAATAACAATTACTGGGTCATTTTTCTGGTTGAAAGTTTAAAACAAGAATCTATGCTTTGTTGTAAAATTTATAAACTTAACGCTGCACAATGACTTTTAAATTTGCAAAAAAACTTAGAAAAACTCAACAGTAAAATAACACTGAAAGTATAATTTATTAAGCATAAAAATCGAGTAACTCCAATTGTGGTCTAGTCAAAAAAATTGAAAAAAAAAAACAACCAAATGACAGTTGGCAGAAAGCAATGAACGCAGGGAAACATAAATTTGAAAAGTTTGGGGATTTGAAAATGTTCAATTTACATATTTTAAAAATACATATAAGCATTCCATCAACGCACTTTGAATTTCAAGAACAATTTATTATAGGTGTTTATTTGATAACACTAACCCAATTTGAGAAAACTTGATCAATATTTAAAATTTTAATTCCACAGGGAACTTGAACATTAAAATCCACTGTAGAAACTAGAAGTCAAACAAATTTTTTGTGACCTTTTAACTTTTGCTGTTCGATAGTGGAGTTTGCTTTGGTTTTAAGAACGAAAATGAACTTAACTTGAAAATAAATTAAATGTCAAACCTCGAAAAATTTAAATTAAAAGTTGAACTAACTTTTCAGGCCTTTTCCTGAAAAAATCACAAAGACCTATTTAAGAGTCTTCATTAGATTCCTTAGCATTGGCAGTAGCAATCCTTACCATTAGTTGTACTTAATAGCTGGTTGAAAGTACAAGAATATTTGGGCTCGGGGTGGGTTTTCTTCTTCAGACAAATTTCGACTTTTTAACTAGCCATTTTTGACAAAATTTTTTATATCATTCAGAAGGTAACGTTGTCTTGAGCTTAAAATTGAAAAGATATTTCACGGGTGATCAATTTTGGTAAAGTTATTAGGGTTTCAAGATTGGTATTTCGGCCAATTTGAGACAATTAACGCGCGATATATTTAGCGCTATTAACGCTTAAGCGGGGATTTAATCCGTCTTAGAAATCGTTACAAATTGGTTGAAAGAAGCTTATCTGCCATATTTGATGTGTTACTGGAAGCAAAAATTGTCACTTTGTACTTTATATTGCATGTGGGGATGATTTTCACAAAATATCTAAAACTTTTTTACAAAATTTTTTTCATTTTATGTTTTTTTCATCTATTTTTTTCATGCTATTACTGCTTCATAGACCTTGAAAGGCAGTCGGAACATTCAGGGCTTCGCTCTGATACGAGCAGTTTTGCTGATCTTATGCACATACTGCAATAAAAGAATACTTTCAAAACTAAAACTAATATTTGCGACTTAGGTTGACAAAAAGGAATTTCATACTATCACCCAAGCTTTGGTTGTGTAAAGAATATTGTATTTAGGACAACTTATGCCCCGAAACCAAACTTGACAAATTTCATCGCTGATTTTTGTCTGAATCGATAATAACAAAAATTTTGCTCTACAGTGCTCAATAATTGGTTGATCTTTCCGCAACTAAACAATAATTATACAATTTAACAATTCAAAGCAATACGCCTGACTAAAATTCAGTTTTTCGAAGAAGTATTTAATAGCTAAACTTACCTGTAAACTTTGATCATTTAACTAAAATTTTATTTCAAGTGATATATTTTAAAGCAAAAACTATATGCAAATTTACAGCAATTGAATCCACTTATTTAAACTCTTAGTTTTACTCAGTCTAATTAAGATTATCATTTTCTTCATTCAAAATTGTTAACGTTAAGAATAGGTGATACTTTTTCTCGCAATTCAAAACCCTAATTTTACGACTGTTTTCATCTTTGTTAATTTTCACTTGTTAATTTTCTTTGTTAATTTTCAAAATAATTTCATGTTGATTCCCGAAGTTAAGTTTTTGAAATTTTCCACCTACTTTAGTGTTATCACCAAGTCTTCCATAACTTTTTTCTATCTAAACATGAAGTATTACAAAATAGAGTCCCATTCCATCTGATATGTTTTGAATCTGCTCTAAAATGATGATTGTTAATATTACATTTTTCGAAATATTGGTTCAGTTAGCATTGAAAATTAACCAGAAATAGTATACATTTAATCAGCTCATTTCACAATTCAGAGTTATTTGTTCTCATTAGGTCAATTTTTTGCATCTTCATTTTCAGGTTCAGATTCGTTTTTCACAGGTACCTTTCCGCCGACACTAAAACAAAGACACCGAATTTAAAAAACGAAATTTCCAAGCTACTTTTGTGTTGGTAACCACGCCGTAACATAGCCAGTTATATGCTCCACTGTGGAAAAAAACTCCTCGCACCGAAATGTTATTTGATTTCCGTCTTAGTTTAATTGCAGTAATTAATATCCCATATTTGTGATTAATAACTTTATGGGAAAAAAAGTATCTTAGTTAAAAGTTCAGTATCGAAAGACGCCTAAGAGATGCTGCATAAACAAAAGACGATGTTTTTCATTTAATTTCGAAATGCCTGCTTTTGGTCAATAAGCCAGAAAATAAAGTACAAACCCTCAATAGAAATATGAATGAATGTTAGAAAGATGAAGCCAAAACTTAGTTCTCAACAAAGAGAAAAATACGCGATAGAGTGAGTTGTCATAAATATAGCAGCAAGATTTCAGACACTTGACAAACCTGATTCAACTACAGAGCAGCTTAAACAGTGTGAACTTAACATTTCCTTTTTTGCTAGCTTGTTGGTGAGAAAAAGAAGAAATCATGTTTTAAAATTAGTAGATGATAGCAGTGAGCGTTCCAAACATCAACCGATGCCCACAGAACGAATGATTCCTTGGTTTATTTTAAAGGGGCCATTTATTTTCATTATGTTCAATAACACTTGAAGAACAACTAATATATTATTTTTGTATGGAGTGCGCAAAAACCAAAACAGAAAATCGGAAAAGTTGTTGAAATTGAGACCCACTTCACTTACCCACTGGTCCTGCATTCTTCTGCTGAGGGGTTACTGGCGCAGGTGTTTTGGCTGCCCCCGAGCCGCGTCTGTTTTGCTGCTGCTGCTGCTGCTGCTGCTGCTGTTGGGGAGGGGACTGTGCTGCTCCGTTAGAGGAATCTAACCTGCTCTCTCGTTGACCCTCATACACCTACGGAACATTCTTTTTTTTTTCAATTCAAAAATCGGAAATCGATTGTTTCGTCAACGGTCACGTAATATTGCGTTTAAGTTGTCCAAATAATCCTCAAACGATTATTTCAAACTTGAATGACTTCGTTGATAATGTTTCAAATATTGAAACCTAAATGGATTACAAGAGAGCTTAATAACCTCGCTGTTGGTCCTGTTGTATCCTTCATTTGTCTCAAATCTTCTCCCATTGCGCTTCGTCTCCCGCTGTTGTCCATTTTCACTTCTGTCCGCCTAAAAAGACCAAGAGAAAGTTTATTCAGGGAATTATAAAATGAGTATCCAAATTGGCAACTGGTTGATCTAACCTCAACACTTCTGAGAGCGTACATATTGTCGAACTCGTCCTGAAACAGAAGGAGGAGAATAGTAATTGTGTATCTGAAGTTCCATTCACCTCCTGTAAACTGTTAACTAATGGCAAAATTTGAAAGCATAAATTTTAAATCTGCAATTCCGGTGTATGTTTTCCACACTATTTGTAGATATTTCTGTAATGATGTGACGCAGATGCTTCCAAATGTCGCAAAAACTTTGAAACTGCAAAAACCGAACGTTTTTTTTTTAAATAAAGACTAATCGAAATCAAAATTTAGGTTATTTTGTTCATACCACGAAGAAAGATTTGAAATTTAAAGAGAAGGTAATAAAAATTTAGGAAACAAAATCAGTAGGCCTAATAGAGTCCTAAATAGTCACAATCCATGTTGGGTTCTACTTGTCTATGTCACCTCATTTCCATGTATGGTATGGGATTTCTGCTGATTTTTGAGACAGACATAGACGATGAGGATGATGAGGAGAAAGAACAACACCACTGCCACCAGAATGATCAACACCAGCAAGTATGTCTCCAGGGTGTCATGACCATCGTCCCCGTCCTGACTGTCCGCGACATTGGGATTTTCTACGGCTGAACAAAAAAAACCTAGTATGCATATTGCAAAAATATTACACTAAAAACCGAATCTGACAAAAAACAAGGCTTCGAACTTTCGAGGAGCCATTGGAACCAAACTGAATTTCAAATCAGAACCTTTATTGCCAACAAAACATAGGGGGCAGTTTTAGATTTTTTTCAGCTCCAATCGTGCAATAAACGCTCATGGAACAAGCGACTTCTGCATTAAATGCTATTTTTTCCTGTTCTGTAACAATTCCCTGTTTTATTGTTGCACCCAAAACTTGAATATCAAGTAAAGCAAACAGACAAGTTAACTTTTTAAGCTCAGCGGTATCAATTTTTTCATCTTAAAAAAATGATTGATAACGCTTCTGGGAAAACTGAATGAGTAAAACTTTCTCTACTTAATTTCTTACGTGATGCACGCCAATTATGATTCTAGATAAATGCTAAGTGACGCAAGCCAATTAAGACGAATTAGCAGCACCAAACAATTTTTAAAAAAAAATTTACCAAATAACGGACCTCAATTTATAGAGCGGACGTATTTTAACTAGTATATACGAAAAAGTTCATTAAAAACAACAGACCCTGCCCAGATTGGAACCCTCTTATTTCGGTGCTGGTCTCCTTCCCTACCTCTACGTTACAGATCCATGATGCCTAGAAGCTAAAGTGCTATTTGTAAGATAATAGTCTCTGCTAATATCCTTAGCATTGGCTGTACTTAATACCTGGATCAAAATGAACACTTTCAGAATGAACTCATTTTGTCGCAACAGTTGGAAAAAAGAGAGTTCATACTATAATACAAGATAAGCTTGCGTAAATAGCGTGCAGTAATTAGTCTACAACACGTGTCTTAATCATAAACATTCAAATCACTTTCAATCGATTAATTGGATCATTTTTGCCGCAACAGCGAATAAGACTACAAATTTAAGAACGTTAGAAAATGAAATAAACGATGAGAATTGAAATTTTCGTTCAATAATAATAATATTAAAAAAATGTTTTCAAGCTAATTTACTATTAGTGATTGTATTGAAACCGCATTTACAACCATGAAACAAACATTTGCGTGAGAGATAGTCATGAGACCTTCTGGTCCGTTTCAGACTTCTTGTTTATTTCTTTTGTGACAAGTAGTGTTAAAGAGTTTGTCGTGGTCAATGCTAATTCGACTACTCACTTTCAACTGAGACTGTGAGGATGCGGTTGTCCTGTTGAGTCTGTGGATTGTTCAGCGTCTCATCTGTCCTGGCTGCCAACTGCCTCTCTGACTCAGCTGTCCCCTCAGCATCACTCACCTGCTCAATCACATTTCAACTTTACTTCACACTTCAATTTCCCACTCGGCAGTTGTTTACACTAATTCGCGAGCGGTCGTTTAATTTCAACAGGAACATTACCAGCTCTGTCTTTTCCAATGTGTTTCCGAGCTCACTCTTATAGTCCAATTTACTTCCAAAAATAACCTTTTGGTTCCCATTAGCCAATTAAACTCTTGAAAATAAGTCACCGTTTAAATTAGCTAAACGTGTTGGATCTCTGGCTAATCAAGGAAAATTAAAGCCGACAGGCATTTGGAAATACGTTAATGAACTCAAGGAAGCAAAAATACTTTAAGGAATTTTAGTGATTTTTAATAAATAAAAGATATAGCAGAAAAAGAAACTTGAAAAGCTTTCTTTGAAATTTGGAAGTTTAAAAATTTTGATTTCGTATTCTTTGAATTCTTGAAACTTTTCAAAATCTTTTAAGATTGAAACTTTTGGCACTGAAGTAAGACTGCATCTCAAAAAACCAGCGAAAAAAGATAGAAGGACTCAAAAATGCAAGAAAAACAAATTGTGCCACGGACGAATATCAACTTCACAATGCAAATCTCTGATAGCCTAAAATTAAACTCAAAACTACCAATTTGAACTCTGGATATTCGGCTTATAACTTTTATTTTATGATCATAGGTTGAGCAGCAACAAACGCACTTTAGTAAAGCGGATACAACGAGATCATGATGTTTAAATATCACATAACATTTGCTCAAAACTTTGTCTTAAATTGTGCTACTTTGGTTGAAAAAGAAGGTGGACTGATCCTACAATACTACGCGCGCGCTCCTTTCTAATGGAGCTAACGGTTTGAGAAAAATTCTAGTTTCTGCGGTTCGCAGAGGATCCATCGAAATCTATCCAGCCAGTCTAAGATGTTCGGTTTTTCTTATTTCCCCACCTTCCAGACAGGAGTTGTTCTTGCTGAGCGAAGATCTTTTCTGCGACTAAAGGCCGTTTTTTGCGTCTAGAACTTTCACGTGCTACAACTGTTGCAACCAAAATCGGCCAGGCTGTGTGGTAGACCTGAAGCTGGAGGCCAGTGAGAGCTGGACCTCACATACTTTGTACCAATGTTGTTCAAGTAATGGATCGTCAAAAATAGACAGGGAAGCGTATCGGGGATTAGAAAGAGGTCGCAAGACCTGATAATCTCCTACCATTTGTTTCAAATTATGTATTCACGTGAAAATTTACTATCAGTACCAATAAGTAAAGGAGAAGAGTGAAACTTGCCTTTTGTACAACTATGGAGTCCACCTTGGTTGAGCCCTGACTGAAACCGGTCACAATTACACGCACCAATCGGTCATTGTCCACTCTGAGAATGTTGAACAGCTGCAATGAACACATACACCTCAGTTATTAATCACATCGTCAAAATGAAAATGATCAGTTTTTCGATAGGTACAAGTATCGCACAGAAACTATTACTAATGTGCTCAATAAAATCTATTTTTAACTATTTTAGTTGTTCAGATGTCTCCTTAACTTTTGATTAGCCGGGTTTGCATATAAGTGACTTAAACTTGAGCCTTTATTCTTTTTCAGCTAAACCAAGCTAGAATGTTTAATATAATAAATTTGTCTACGAGTGGTCCATGAAAATTTCCCAGCATTTATTGTGACCATTTATTAATTTCTGCACAATCAATACCCTTACTAAGGCAACTAACCAGTAGTTCATATCGCGCCTTCTCTTCTCTGTATGTCTGTGAATCTGTTTCCAGTAACCTCGAATCGAACACTACATCGAATGTCACTTTCACTGTGATCTGGACAGCCTTCACACACGTGTTGGGGGTGTCTGGATCGGTGGCATAGCCAGAGGAGCAGCTGCACGTGGATATTGAGTGGAAGTCAGAGCAGGAACAGCCGACTGTGGAGAGACTGGGGTTACACGTGTCGGACGGAAGAACTAAAGACATAACATAAACAATTAAATGGATTAATTAGTTCTATTGCAGAGACATACTTAGGAAGGAGGAGGAGGAGGAGGCTGCATTTTTTGTCTTTTCCTACCTTTCCACTATCACAACGTTCCTGTCTTTTCTACTATTTCGCGACATCATTTTGACTGAACATCCCTTACTTTTTCATACTATGCCACTACTCACTACACTTGAATAGAGCGTGAGCATAAAAAAAAAGCAAGTTACATTGGTCAAAAGCTTCCAAAATAATTCTAAAATAGCATTTTGCTCATTTCCCTTTAGTTTCATCTGGTCCGGACTATTTTGCAAAAATAATGTTGTTTTAAACATTTTAAACTGATCTGGCTGACCAAATAAACGCTTGAAGAAGTTTCGACGGTTGACAATTCACACGAACTCGCAGTGCTCCCAAGTATACTCACTCAAAGAGAAGGAATCAATTCACTAGAGCTAACTCACACGTTCTCAAACATTAGCTAACTCTACTTAAAGTTCGCAAGTGTTATTTCTCTTGTTTGCTATTATCTCACCTTCACAGTCGATGAAGGGGCCTCTGACCACTGGCTGGAATCCAGGGGCACAGAAACACTCTGCAGTAGATCCACTCTGTCTCTGGCTGCAGTTGGCTCTAGTCGCAATGTCTGTGATACAATTGGCCCCCACTGCCGCCGCACACTCCCCTATTACAAAACAAAATTAATAACAATAGCACAGATAGTGGCACAGATAGTTCCGACTATTTTTTTTAAAAAAACTTATAAGAAAATATGTTTCCATTTTTTCAACTTTTGGCCGTTAGAACGGTTAGAACATAGATATTGTCCTTAACTTGCTACAACTGTCTTTCGAAAATGAATAATAAAATAAAAAATGAAACAAAATGTTTCGAACAAACTTGGTACAATTTTTTTCAGTTTTTACAAAACACTTCTTTGAATTCAATTTAATGTTGCCTTACATAATTTTTCAATAACTAGTTTTCCTTTAATTTTCCTATTGAACATTTTTCATTAAATAAACGTTACTCGATTGCTTTATTGACTCAAAGGTAGACTAAAAAGGAAACTTCAAACCGGTTTTTCTCGAAATTAAAAAAAGATGCATTCTATTACACTAAGCTCGCTAAAAAAAATCAGGAAATAAAATTAGCCTTAAAAAGAAATAGCTGATTTTAGGATTTGAACAGCCTCAAAAACACTTGTTTGTGCGAGTAAGGTTGGAAAAAAAATTGTTTTTGTGAAGGGAGACCGCCATTCAGAAAACAAGCAAAATCAATATAGCAAAGAGAACAAAAACATTACTAAAACCAGGTATGAAAACGATTCAAATTTTATGAACTCACTTTTATGAATTATCTCGACTGATGTTCCATTTAACTCGATTAGTATAGATATAAGCAAGAGGCACTGTTGTTTTTCAGTCAGTGAATGGGGAGGTGAGCTATAAGTTAGCTTAGAAATTAGTATGATTGACAGCATTTACGTTTGCTAAATGATTAATAGTAAAAAGCGAATTAGTTTTCAATTTTTTTCAATTTTCAACTATTTTCAAAACTATTTTCAATAGTTTTCAATTTTCAACTTCAGGGGAGCAGTGGTGAAGTGGTTACGTCTCCGCCTCTCAATCGAAAGGTCGGATGTTCGAGGCCCACCATGATCCGTGCTCGTTGCTTGAGGGTGAGGCAACATTACCCAGCCCAAAAAAATAACCAAAAAAAATTGCATGTAGTTCTTAAGCAGGGGCACAACAGCGGTTCGCCGTGATGAGCTGTACAGCTCGTATGTTGGTCCTATCCCTCGTGGATAAATGATCTTAATTAATTAATTTTTTTCCAGATTTTGTTCCAAAATTACTTTTCACCGCTTAAAAACGTAGTTTTCACAGTTTATTCAACAGCCTATTGCTCTATTCGCTGACTTTACTTGCTTTAAATTCGACTAAGAAGGAAAAACTTTGAAACCGGTTTTCCTAAAATCATGAGTGAAATGGCTCTAAAACAGTACATCACTTAAGCCCATCTTCGCGAATATGAATTCATTCGCGCCATATGATTTTGTCTTACAAGAAAAAAAGCACCCGAATACTGTATTCTTTCTCACTTCCTCTTCTAGACAATAATAAAACGTCAGGCAACTTTTAACTGTTCGAAGGCAAAAAAAATTGTAATCACAGACAGAAAAATGGCAAGTGAAATTATGAGAGCAGTGAAATTAATTTTAAAAAATCAGAATGACTAATTATAATGCCAAACGTTTGTGAAAAAATTGAAAAAAAAACACCCAGGACAAACAATCCGTCACAAGGAACAATAATTTGAGTATAATAGCTAATGTCTGATGAGAATTATTGAAGCCAATTAGCTTGCTTCATTTCAATTTGGAAAGAAGATTTAATCGAGTTAGAGAATAAATCACGCTTACGAGTTGAGCATCATGATAAAAGCAAAAAAGCACTAAGTTTACTCTAAAAAATTGATCAAATGTCTCATTTAAAACCGCCATGATTTCACAAAAAATGATGGCAGATGCCTGAAGTATGTTGTTTTTACTTTAAGGGTTAAAGGGTTACAAAAACCACGAAAAGCTACTATATCTATAAATTATGCTATAAGCCTCGCACTAAAATGAGCGATTCGAGTTGGAAAAAATGACCGTATTGCACTATGCTCGCAAGCACGTTCCGTAAAAAATGTGAAATCTTTTGGTAAGCAAGGCACAAAATTGATGAACTGCAGACCCAAATAGGCTAATTCCTTCGAAACTATTATTTTGAAACAACCAAAGAGTGTTAAGAAAAAAAGCTTTTAGAACTTTCACTACCATTTTCCTATCAATATATCGAGTTTGATTTAACTAGGTCTGAATTTTACCGGAAACTTCGAAGCACACATGTCTGGCAATTAAAACCGAATAATGCACAAAACTTTGATAAAGTCGTCTTACTTTTACAGAGTAGTTGACTGTGTAAACAATTTCTATCATGTGTCCAGCGTCGATTAATATTGAGTTAGGACCGATGGGTATAACTCATAGAGTAATTTCGGATAGGGTACACCGTCTGCTCGTCACGCTATCTTATTTTCGGCCGGATAGATTCGTGCAACTTCTTAGTCTAATACCGATCCTAATCTTACTCTTATACTATCTAGTCTCAGGTTGTTTAACTAGTCTCTGCTAGGCTCAATAGATCTAGGGTATACTGGTTTATTGCGGCTGCTGAAGTACTCGGGAGAGTTCAACTAATTTCTAAGTTAAATTCAAATCTCTCTGGTGCTGAAATTACAAGTAATTTCAGCACTTACAAATAAGTGGATTGTTAGTTAGATGGATCATGATTGGTTAATATTAAATACTTTACATTGGTAAAATATCTAATTTATCCAATCATAAAATGTAGTTTAGATCAGGTTCCATCCATCCGGGTTTTACAGAGTTTTTTAGAATAGTCTTTCTGCAATTCAAAAGATGGATGATGGACGTTGGTATTTGGCGAAGATCTTATTTCTTCTGGGTTTTTAGAAAGGGTTGGATAGTGAATCGACGTTTGAGGTCGTTAGACACTAGTTAAGTGGGTGGGGGAGAACAAAGTTGTTCTTTTTGATCCAAGGATAGGCCTTGATGATCAAGTTTTAAATTTAATTAAATAGAAAATTATTTAAGATCCAAGGATAAGCCTTGATGATCTGATCTTAAAATTAAGTGAATTTAAGTTTAAAATGTTTTAAATTTGTGTAAAGAATAGATTTAGTATTTTTATGATATTAGTGAGCTTATGATTGCTGTTATGTTTAGGCGATGAAGCTGGAACAACAGGATGATTTATAATTACTAACCATTTATTGTCATGCTACTAATTTTTATTTTGATTTTTCAATAAATATTTTTCAAACATGTTTTGTATATTACTGCAGAATTTAGGAAAACGATCTGAGATCTTTTTATCAATCGTTATTGTATATTAATAATTTTGTTTAGCGCCTGAAATGATTTTGAAGATTGACTTCAAAATTTTATGTTTGCAAATGAAAATCTAAATTCATTGCTAGTAGTATTCTAAATACAAAAATTTGTTTTTATTAAACTTAACATTTTGTAAATGTTTTGTCTAAATTCTAATCTATTATTGGTTAATGCTAAGCTATTAAGGTCTTGTTCGAGACTTATGGTCGCACCAGATGAGTTAGGACCGATGTAATTTCGGATAGGGTACACCGTCTGCTCGTCACGCTATCTTATTTTCGGCCGGATAGATTCGTGCAACTTCTTAGTCTAATACCGATCCTAATCTTACTCTTATACTATCTAGTCTCAGGTTGTTTAACTAGTCTCTGCTAGGCTCAATAGATCTAGGGTATACTGGTTTATTGCGGCTGCTGAAGTACTCGGGAGAGTTCAACTAATTTCTAAGTTAAATTCAAATCTCTCTGGTGCTGAAATTACAAGTAATTTCAGCACTTACAAATAAGTGGATTGTTAGTTAGATGGATCATGATTGGTTAATATTAACTACTTTACATTGGTAAAATATCTAATTTATCCAATCATAAAATGTAGTTTAGATCAGGTTCCAATATGGACCTGCTCACAAAATTTGAGAAGCTACTACGGCTAGCTATCCTTTTGCCTTCTACGTCACACTATGATGTGCAGAGACCTTGTACTAGTATTTGAGGTGCCGATGCTGCTTTTGCGTTGCTTGAACCATGATAAATTTGCCACTTATTTAATCATTTAATTTCATATAATAGCTTCCTACGAAATTTTCAACAAAATTTTTAACGTCATTTTTTAACGAAATTTTGTTGGTATATTTTACTCATTTTTGGGTAACTGAAGCTGTTTACTAGCACTACTAAAAAAGAAGCAATGAGAATGTTAAAAAAACTACATCTATAAAAATTTCATAGGTTTGCTTTGACTGCATTTCAGGAGAACCCAGTCGAGAAACCCAATAGCAAGCGTTAAGTACCCATTCACAGAATTATTTATCGAGCGGCAGTTTAGTCGACAGTAATTGGGTAGACGCTCGTTGAGCCCAATACAAAATTGCCATACAACTTTTTCCTGCCATAATAAGTTTTGAACCCTTTAAATCTAACGTACCCCTTTTCATACACTCCACCCCTCCTGAAATGAAAAAAAAAGCAGAAACGATTCTACAACGACTAAATATAACATGACTAAGTTAATACATAATCAGCCGAACCCATTTAAGCAAAAAAAGCAAGTCAGTTTTTTACAGAATTCTACACAGAGGCGAAGCTGCAAACACTTGCGAGAACACGACCAAAAAGCAGCTCTATCAAGTGACATAACAAAAAGTAGAAATAAGCCTCAAATTTAACAAATCAATTATGGCAAATAAGCTTCTTTCAAACAATTAGGAACGATTTCTAAGACGGATTGAATCTTCGCTTATGCGTTAATAGCGCGAGCGAAATATATCGCGCGTTAATTGTCCCAAATACCAATTTTTAAACCCGCGTAACTTTACGAAAATTGATCACAGGTGAAATTTATTTCCAAATTTTAGCTCAGTACAACAATACTTTTTGAATCCGTCAAAAATGGCTAGTTAAAAAGTCGAAATTTGTCCGGGGAAAAACCACCCCGCGCACAAATCGGTTACTTTCGTTATGAAAGTCGGAACACTAACAGTCTGTGTTAAATTCCATAGCATTGGCTGTACTTAATAGCTGGTTATTGATCAAAATGAACACTTTTAAAATGAACACATTTTATCGCAACAATGTTTGCGTCGCAACAAAATTTGCGACTTAGGTTGGAAAAAAGATAGTTCATACTATGACACAAGCATTGCTTGTGTAAAAATGCGCCAAATGCGTAAACTTATAACTATTCGAATGTCAAAGCACATGTTATCAATAACCTGTAAAGGTGCAACTAAATATCAAATGTGCAACAAAATATGAAAACATCTTATTGTCAATTTGATGAAGCAAATATTGTTGCTATAGGTCGCAACAAAAGTCGCAACAATATTTGCGACTTAGATTGGAAAAAAAAGAAAGTTCGTACTATAACACATCGCTTCGCAAGTGTAAAGAAAAGATAATTACGGGAAAAAATCAAATTCCCGCAATTGAAAATATCTTGCTCTTGCAAATGAAAAAACATCAGAAGTCTGATTTAAACAACAGAACAATCACACTACCTAAGTAAGGAAAAATTTCAAATTGTCCATAAAAACTTCTTTAAAGAAGAAACACTTAATACTTCAAAAAACGCTTAATGAAACCAGATATAACTCCACATCTCAACTCACTTGTGCACACTCCATCATTCATCACATATCCAGCCAGACAGTCACATGTAGTGGCATCGAACTCATCCTGACATGTGCACTTGTCCGCGTCAGCGTACAGCGCCTCAGTGCCTATGAAGTGAGCAATCACAGTAGAGAAACAACCACGCACACAAACATTCTTCTTGTTTACACTATCATAGTTCACTACGAATCCTGCTTTACAAACACACGTCTCATTTTCAGGAGTGTCTTCTGAACATTGGGTTTGGGGCGACGAGTTTGATACTATGCAATTGGTGCTGTTAGATGTTCCATTACAGTTAGCTGAAACAAAGAATTAATTTTTCGAGAGAATTTGACAATATTATCAGGTTCAAATTGAGTACAAGGCCAAATCCTCTTTTCTTATAGTAATAAAAAAAAATCGGATGCTGAGCAAGTAGCACAAAAAGTTGCGATCACAGTTATATTTGCATGAAAAATTAAGACAAAAAACTAAATTGAATTTTTCTTGGATTATTTATTTTGAGTGTTGGGAGACAAACTTTCGCGCCGTTTTCTCGCCACCGAAAATACTTTTTCGAAAGTTTTCATTGCATTCAGAATTACGGCAGAAAAATCTTCAATTTGGCATGTCAAACAAGCTCACATAATCGTCTTCGTGGTACCCGATTTTGCATACCATGACACAAAAGCCGAAGACAAAGTTCCTTCATCTTCAATGATCGGAACAAATTTCTCAATGAAAAAACCAAAAAGTTGTTATTTGATTTTAAACAGCCATTGGCAAGAACTCATACTTATACCGCAAATGCTCTCGGAGGCGTATGAAAATCTATTCACGTTTTTCAAAGTGTCTAAAACTTTGTACCGCAGTTTTTAGGTTGAAAAATTCAAATTCACTTGATCTTTGAATATTTAATCTTTCTTGGCTGAGGGGCAGGGGTTAAAAAGGAGCTCCAAATGATCTGTTTTGATATTTGATATGAAACATAACATAACTACGTGGCGTGAACTCACTGGAACACTGTGCATTGTCGTCTGGCCCGTATCCGGCCACGCATCTGCAGCTGGTGACGTTATCCTCATCCGGACACTTGCAAACCCCTTCTCTCCCATCCGCAGACAGCATATTTCGATTACACACTATATCCACACACCTAATCAAACTTTTTACTCACAGGCGAAGCGGAGCTGCGCCATACTTGAGATAGTGGCGTGGCGATGTTGCAATTCGCATACAAAAGACAGTGGCGTGGCGATGTTGCAATTCGCATACAAAAGCAAACATAGCCATCTGACAGTTGGAAATGAGTAATGAACGCAAGGAAACAGAAAAAAAACTGACTTGTTTTTGAAGAAACTTCAATTTTGAATTTTAAAGAAAAAAATATATGCCCTTAAAGCTCTTTGAAGTTCACGAACAACTTATGATTGACACTTTTTTGATAAAATCAATCCAACTTGAGAAAACTGAATCAATAGGTAAATTTTTAATTCCGCTGGGAAATCTGAAAATTAAATTTCACTCTTTAAACGAAGTCGATCACGTTTTTCGTGAACTTTCACAAAAAGCGCAAAAGTAAATTTGAGCTTGAATAAACACTTTAAGACTTTTTCCTGAAAAAAAAAAAACAAAAAAATCACCAAGACCTACATGACAGTACTCACAACGTTCATTACTTTTTAAAATATCACAGATAACGCTAGAAAGTAAAAAATAGTATGGCAACTCTTCACAATGGCAACTCTTCACAAACCAAATTAATCAGGATTCATTGCTTAGTAGTTCTGTGAAACAATCCAATCCATATCGAAATCAACACCCGATAAGGCATGACTAATTGGTTTCTGTGCACGCTAACATAGTTTATTTCACATAGTTTTTCTATTTATTATGGTAAAATGCTGCGTAGCGTATTGTCGAATCTTAAAAGGCTATCAATAGTCGCCTGCGACCATTTTTTTGCCTCAAGTGTTTTTACTAAGTGACTGGCTTGCATAAATACGATTTGAGTTCAGACTTTTTCGCTGACTCCAATGGCAAAATCAAAGATTCCTCTGTGATGGAAACAAAACAAGCCATGTTGAATGAACTTTGTTATTGAGCCCATGCTTCTCACCTTGTGTTGTCCATGGTGTCCGATAGATACCCAGTCTTACATGCGCAGGATGAGGTCTGGGAGGGGGAGAAGCAGTTGCAGTGGTTGTCCTCTTCACTTCCAGAAGAGGGGGAGAAGATGGTGTCTCCTCTAAGGGGGTCACAAAACGAACCAGACGATTCTAAAAACACAACAAATGCTTACAAGCCAATTTGAATTAGGGTCCTAGCCCGGTCACTTTTGGCTAGCGTGTCTGCAGAAAGAGACATGAGCAGAGAAATTTATGTAGCCAAACAGTGACCCCAAAAATGACAAGGTATTATGTCATTTTATGGTCAATTTTACGAAGCCAAAAAGTGACATACCCCATGTCACTTTTTGGAACTTGGGGAAAACACCAAAAAGTGACAAGGGTCTCCTTTTCGGAAAATAGCTGAAATTCGTCTGAAAACCCCTACTAAAATCCCGAAAATACCAAAAACCACATAAAAGGTTTTTACTTCATTGACTAAACACAAAAAACCAGAATTTACAGAGTTTTGACTTTGAAAGTTGACTTAAAATTAGAAAATGGGAGAAAAACAGGCCAAAAAGTGCGCAACCCAAAAAAGACCCATGGGTTCAAAAACAACATAATAACCAAAAAATCAATAGTAAACTGAAATAAAACAAACTGTTACGAATTAAACCTTTCTCAAGATGGGAATTGACTGAAAACTATAGCGAAAAACAAAGAACTGAGGATTTGACGCCCAACTCTAAAATTGGGATGTATAAAAACGCCTGACTTTCTCAGCCTCATTTTTTCGGAAATTAGCTGAAACTTTTCTGAAAACAATGAGTAAGTCCAAAAAACGCCAAAGAGCAGCAAAAAGTTTGTAAAATCTTTGAATAAACACAAAAAACTAGAGTTAATAGCATTATGAACCAGCAAATTGACTAAAAATGAATAAAAAGAGGGAAAATTTTAAGGAAAAACAAATAAGTTATATTTGAACCCTAAAACCTAAAATTGAAAAAAAAATCCTCTAAATTGTCAACACCAACAGAACAAAAACAACCTTAAAATGATCACTAGCATCTCAAACCAAGTGTGAGAGATACAACAAAGAGGATTTCACTTATTAGCAATGAATATTCATTCAAATTTTGTTAGCCGGGGCTGAATTTGAGAAGCGAAAAACTTATTTCGAAAAATGGATTTTTCAAACATTTGAGATTTTTTTTTCAAATTTCATATCACTTGATTGAGCCACGAACAGTTTTCCAGCTGAAAACTTGTCGAAAAGTTTTCCAAACTTTATCGGGCTTTAATTGTGTTTAGATTAAACAATTTATTATCCAGATTGATGCCGTCAGTGAAGTTTTCTCGCCTTGATCGACATATTCGAAACTATCAGTGTTCTTGAGAAAAATAAATCTGGTAAAAATCTTAAAATGTTTTTTGACCGAACAAAATACAATCAGAATATGTTTTCGACACTATGGAGAGTGTACATGCACAATTTACTTAATTTGTTTCCAATGGTTGACGAAAAAAAAACAACCTCGATGTAAAAAAGCCATTACACCGAAAACTTTCCTCCGGCTCATTTTTGAACTTCTTATCTTGTAACAATCGCATTATAGCAACAAAAGCGTTGCTAAAAAGCTTCTCCTAACTATGAAACAGTCTTCATCAGAACAATTCAGAAACGTGCATTTTTCCGGCATACCAAAAGCAAACTTCTAGCCAAAACTTGATTTGAAGAAAAAATCAAAATTGAGTAAAAAAAGTCCTAACGTCGAAAAAAACTGCTCAGCTTAACTTTACCCAATTTTTAAGAGGTGTCATATGACGAACAACGAGTCATTGCAAATCTCTTTTAATTGGTTAGACGTGGAGAATAAAAAAACATATACTTAAAATGTTTTATAAAAACCCTTCTTAAGTGTAATGGACATATATGAGGACCCGTTTAACTGGTTTATGTCCAGATTAAATGGATCAATGAAGTTTCATCTCATTGAAAGCATGTTGGATTGTATCAGTTTCCATTAAAAAATTGAAGATCGAAAAATTACCCGAAAAACTTTTTTCAATTTTTTTTTTATTAGGGTATACTAAACAACTCATGGAGAGTTCACATCTACAATTTCATCAGTATATGTCAAATGGGTGATGAGAAAATCAAAAGTGAGCCAAAAGAGCCGAAATGGCCCCAGACCCAAAAATTTCACCTCGGCTCAAATTTGAATTTCTCAAGTTCTAGAAATCGCATTATAGCAAATAGGCCAGTGGGTAGACCTGAGGCGTGTCTGATTTTCAAAAAACTCAGCGTTGAAAATATTTTCAGGCTAAATAAAAAAATCTAAGTTTAATTTCCTCTGCCAAAAAGTGACATCTATCTGGCTAAAAACTGAAAACGTGGAAAATAGCCCCCAAAAAAATTTTTAATCGAAAAAGCAACTTCACCATCGTGTTCCTAGTTCAAAAAAGGGCCTAGAAATCATTTTTATTTAAAAACTTATTTTTCAATTCTTTCGAAGCTGAATCACCTCGATCAAAGTCGGGTTGTCAGAGTAACTACACTTTATTGCAGATTTTTCATTCAGGGATGGAAAGTTAGCCCTAAAAACTTTTTTATAGTCCAGTCGGTTAATTTAGCTCGAGAAACCACTAAAACCGTTGAGTTTTCAAAAATTGTATTATTTTTCGATGAGAGACAGACATGAAAAAAATTCGAGCCTAGCACTAAAATTACGATAGACTTAAACCGCCCTAAGATTTTGAATATTATTTTAACTCAACAAGTGATACATATTCGGAAACTACACGGAAAGGGCTTTCCAAAACAATAAATTAATGCCCAAAAACACTTTTTTTGAAACTTTTTTTGCAAACCATAAATCGACCAAAAACTGAAATTTGCCTGACCCCAAAATTTTATAGACCGTTTTTTCCGTTTTTTTTTTCAAAAGGGTTTCTTAAATTTGTGTTTTATTGCCAAAAAAATCGAATCAAGTATCTCAGACATCGGGAACCCTTTTGAGCCGATGCCTTAAAACGTAGGGCGGCCTTTACCAAAAAGTGACACGGCTAGGCTTATTGGCAAAAATCTTTTTCTGATATTGATGTTCAAATTATGACGTCCGAAATCATTATTCACTCATGTCATCATGATTAAATCTTGTCAAAAATTTAATTGCGCTGAAAAGCACCAATTCTATCAACCGATTAAGTTGCTAAAGGACATCGATATTTTATCATTTGGCAATAGTTTTAAATCAGACTCAGCTTTCTCACTTTGTAACATGTCGAATCTAATTAAAAGAGTTCGCGGTACGCTAAACAGACATTTGACATATAACGTTGGGTCGTTTAAGGGTGGCCTCAAAAATGGTTTAAAAAACGATCGTTTTTTTTTGCAGGCGGTTGAGCCTTTTGGAAACTAAAGATCGGAACAGCACTTTGCAGTACTTAATTTCAGGAGTGTCAAAAAATACTGGGTGCGGAGGGTTTGGATTTTTCGGAAAAAAAGGCATTTTCCAGTTCCGGGGATCAACATTGAACTAGTCTTGATCTTTGAACTTGGCCTGAATTTTCAGTTATTGAATGCAGACTGCAATTTCTTAATGAAAAAGTTGATTTGTGTTGCAAGGGCTCAAGAAGTATGGGGCTCTGAGCCCAAGAAGTAGGGCTCAGGGTCCCAGCAATAAAGAAGACTAGAGTAAGCTATGTATTCGAATGTTTTTTTTTATCATCTCATCCATTACCTCTCAAGCATAACCACTAAGTAGGATCTTAGGAGACGTGTATAGCTTTACTGAGCTACATTTTGAGAGCTTTAGAAAAACGTCAAGCGCATCTCTTGTTACGCTACACCAAAACCATATGCGTCATACTCAATCACATTAAACATGGAATGTTACATAAAAAAAACAAAACAAAAAATATATTCAACAGAACAAAACGACCATCAAAATAGTGGCAAAAATGGTTCCGCATTTTATCAGAGAAACATTGCGGCCTAGTGGCTGAAAAGTAAGCCTGGTCTATTTAAGTTCCCAGATTCTATCCATTGATCCACTTCACCGGTCGCACCAGATGTTCTTTTTAATAAAAATTGTCAAATGCAAATGTGTCTTCAGTCTTATTTTACATCAGATTAAGTCCAATTCAAACAGAAAAAGCTGCGTTAAATGAAAACACAAGTCTCATATGACATGCCGTTTAAAAGATGAAACATTTGCAAAATGTCGCAAGACTCCAACTTGTAACAGTGGGCGGATCGAACCCAGTATGTTAACAAAGCCGAAGATACACGTATAAGTTAGTTGCTATTTGAGCTTATTAAAAACGTGATAGCATTGTTAGGAAGAAATAGAGTCGTCTCAAATAGATAATAATTTCAATTCAACTCAAAAACTCCTCAACACTCAATTTGTGCTCGAAAAAAAAGCATGACACCAATCGAGATTTTAAAAAAAAACTCGAGCAATGCAGTTTATGATATAAAGAGGATATTTTAACGCTTTTAGAAAGAGCAATTTGGTGTGAAAGCCGGGTACAAAAAAAACTAATCAAGACAATTTTTGCATGCTTAAGCTAATTTTTCACACAGAAAGTACGTCTCAATGTCACCTAAAACCTTAAATTTGCATGCAAAAAATGGTCAAAATTGGCAGATTGCTCGTTTAAATGATTTCTGTCTGATGCAACTTCTCGCAACTTACTATATTAAGGATAATTAAGACTCCATCTTTTGTTTAGTTTCTTTCTACCTGTGCATCCAATCTCGTCCCCTTTCACTTGAATGAAGTAGTTGTTCTCACAGAAACAGCCCCCACCCTCGGCAGCACACAAACTGCCATCGGATACTCTGCAATGCGCCTGTCCGGGGTCACAGTTGCGGCTGCACTGTGCTGTTGCGGGGTGGAGCAGTGTTCCGGCGTGGCACAGACAAGTGAGCAGGTCGAATTTGTCCCCACAAGTGCAGTGGGTGCTGCCGAATGCACAACTTGCAACACATGTGTCTTGTTTGTTGTTCGGTCTAGTTCCTCCGTCCGCACATGTATCTGAACAGAAAACAAACTTAGCTGCTGATCGGTTCAGAGGCCATCTAGGATTTTGGCGAGGAGGGGGAAGATTATTTTATTTTAAAAAACTTGGAACTTTTCCTACCATTTTTAGTGAAAATTCCCAATACCAGTAGCGGATTTAGGGTGGAGGGGGCGCGGACGCCCCCTCCCCTCAGGGAGTCGACCCCCTGCCGACCCAAAGGGTCCCCCTTAGTACTATTTTCAGGTATCCCTTTTTGTTGACGGACCCTAAAATTGTTCTAAAGGCGCCTTCGGTGCCAATATATACTAATTTTGAGGGGGGAGCGCGCGCAAAAAAACGCCATTTTTTGGTCAAAAATTTCCAAAAAGTGCCTAAAAACGCCGTCTTCTATATTTTACCATCTATCATCAGATTAAATAAAACTCAAGTAGAACCTGATCTAAACTACATTTTATTAATTATAAATTAGATATTTTACCACTGTAAAATATTTAATATTAACCAATCACAATCCATCTAACTAACAAACCACTTATTTGTAAGTGCTGAAATTACTTGTAATTTCAGCACCAGAGAGATTTGAATTTAACTTAGAAATTAGTTGCCTCTCCCGAGTACTTCAGCAGCCGCAATAATACCAGTATACTCTAGATCTATTGAGCCTAGCAGAGACTAGTTAAACACCCTGAGACTAGTAGATATAAGAGTAAGATTAGGATCGGTATTAGACTAAGAAGTTGCACGAATCTATCCGGCCAAAAATAAGATAGCGTGACGAGCAGACGGTGTACCCTATCCGAAACTACTCTATGAGATAGGCCTCCATACTTAACTCATCTGGTGCGACCATAAGTCTCGAACAAGACCCTTAAAACAAATAAGCTTAGAACTAACCAAAAACAGATTAGAAATAGACAAAAACATTTTCAAAATGTTATACGACAATAATTTAATTGAATGGTCTCTACGACTCAATAGATCAGAGCCGCTATTCCGTACAATACGAGAACAACCAGGTATTGGAAACAGACCTCAAACAAGAGACGACATACGACTACGAAGAAATTTACCATTTAGTTTCATGATCGTACGGCAAAAGCCAACACAAACTTTTATATTTAGAATTTTAATGGCAATGAATTTAGATTTTCATTCGCAAACATAAAATCCTTGAAGAAAAATCTTCAATGCATCTACCAGGCGCTAAATAAATTACTATTGTTCAATAACGATTGATAAAAACATCTCTAATCGTTTCTTCCTCTGCAGTACTATATAAAACATATTTGAGAAAATAATATATTTAAAATAAAAATAAAAATTAGTAGCATGACAAAAAATTGTTAGTAAACATCAATCATCTTTCTGTTCCAGCTTCATCACCTAAACATAACAGCAATCCTAAATCAACTAATATCATCAAAACTAAAAATCACAAATTGTTATTTCAAATCTTAAATTTTATATTTTTCAAACTTAAAATTAGATAAATTTTAAACCAGATCATCAAGGCTTCCCTTGGATCTAAATAAATTTTCTATCCTTAATTTTAATTCTGATCATCAAGGCTTATCCTTGGATCAAACAGAACAATTTTTTTCTCCCCCACCTACTTATCAAGTGTCTAACGACATCAAACGTCGATTCACTATCCAAACTTTTCAAAAGACCCAGGACTAATAGAAATTTTTCGAATACTAACCATTCAAATTAGGCTAAACAGTGAAGAACTTCGGTTATTCATCCTTCACTTGACCCCTCCTCTTATACGACCCATGATAGATCTTAGACTTAGTAAGTTTAAATTAGTACCTAACGAACTACTTGCGTTCTAATTATACCTGAACCTTGTGGATCGATTTACTATTCTCCAACCCTTGTGAACACAATCACTACCCCTAAGTAAGATTAAGTAAGTTAACACCTTAGCTTATACTAGCCACGAGAAAGTAAAAATCATTCTTCGGAATCGATATACTTCTCTCTCCAACCCTGAAGGACTAACAGTCTAGAAAATTAAAATCACTAAAAACAACCTTGCATTCATCATCCTTAATCTTATCACATTGAAAAATCTAGGAAATAAACAAACAATCGTCATACACAATTGTGAAATCGAAAATCAAAAACACGATCTTGTTATAAGCCCGCATACACAAACAGTTGAATACATTCACACAAAACGACAAACACTAAAAAGAAAAATTCTAAGTAAGCAAAGACAAATAACACGAAAGAGATTTTCAAAACACCGAAATGCATTCTCCGAACCAGAAGTCAGTAGTCTCGATGCACTATACAAAGTAGAAGACTCAATAAATCAAACTTATCCAATCCAGGACCCAGTATATTTTTCCGATTCAGAAACAAATACAATTTCATCGAAAAAAGGAAAAAACAGAAAAAAAAGAAGCACAAACACAAACCAGTACATCTTTACAACTGGAGTCAACCAATTAGACACATTAATAATTATATATTAACAGTTATCAAACGAAAAGATGAGCAACACTCAAAGTGACGAAAGCCCCGATGAAGAATATGTTTTCCCCTTTATTATAAATTCACTAAATGATAGAGGAGAAACAAAATTTTGCAGAAATTTACTCATAAATTTATTTGAACCAGGAATCAGTCCATGTAAAACAGAATTCCCAGATGTAAAAATCAAGAGACAAATAATAGAACATTATCTCAAAGATATATTTAAAATAACACAACAATACGGTATCTACACGATAGAAATCAGTACACCAAGAATAGGATATAATAAATATGTTATTCAAACAGATGATCTTGATTTAGAATTTTCAAACGTATTCACAGAATACATCAAAAGTCTACAATATCATAACTCACAAAGAGCAAATTCAATATTCACAAATGAAGTTTTTGCTATAATATATACATATTTATCTATAATAGAAACAACAGAAGCTCAAAGTACATCACCAATCCAGACGTCAAAACATACAAAAGTCAGAAAAGAAATCACTGCATTTTCTACATTTTTCAACGGAATTCGTGAAAATTTTTACAGTAATGATGATTACAAAATACCAAACATGATTTGGAAAAAATACTAGCATGGTTTACAATTGATTATTTTACACACAACATAGACTTAATTGCACAAGCAAGAAAAAACTTTCGACCCCAAAGTAACAATGACGACACTGTCATTGCAGAACAATCAGATTATGTTTGGGACCCTGATTGGTCTCACCCATTATTTATAAACATCCCAGTCGACATCTCAGGTCAAGCAATAGATACAATGTCTCTTCACCCAGATTATACAAAAATAATACCATTAACAATTGATGCAACACTTTTAAAATATAATACATTTTTACCCGACACACAAAATAATAGTTAAAATTCAACAGTTATACATCATGAAAATCTCAATGGAACTAGAAATCTTACACAACAAGATATTCAAACACCATCACACTTCATAAATGAAGAAATAGTCCACACAACAGTAACAACTACGCAACAAAGTATCTCACCGATACACCCGAGTCTTACAACACCAAAAAATAACAATGCAACATTACCACAAGCAACTATGCAATCAACCGTAAAACCCTCGGTTGCTCCTAAATATTCACAAATGGATTATTGAACATTTAGACCAATGACAAAACCATCAAAACCACGAAAGACATTCAAAAGAAGTAATTTTGTAGAACACAATTATAATTACGCACATTCATCAAAAGCAAACTACCCTCCACGAAAAAATAATAATCATGTATGTTCTCACTATTAGGAGAAACCAATGACAACAACCAACTCAGTAAATTTTCAAACTAATTCAGATCCTCCACAGGATCATAGTGAAAATTATCCATTTTTTCAACAAAATAAAAACAAAAAGCAAACACCTCATTATACGAGTTATCTATCATCTGATGATGATGATTATTTACAACCAGATATTTTTGCACCATATACACAGGAATATCGCACACAAAGACCGCGACAACCTCAATCATCTCAATATAAGAGAATTTTTCCTCAAAACCCAACAGATATTCAAAATCAACAACCAATACAAATACCAAAATTAATTAATACACAATCTTTTCAACCAATACAACCACAAAACCCAATGACTAAGCACTCGTATCAACCAAATCAAATGCAGAAAGAAATACCATTACCATATTATCTACAACAACATGAAATTACAAAAAATCAATTGACAAATTTTTCGCAAATACCAAATGCCGCAGAATCACTCCAAATGACGATGAATCCATATCTCATGGGAGAATCGTCAATAACATCTAATAAACCATTGATGGTATTCACAGGAACAGACCCTGAATACTCAGTAGAAGATTACTTAAACGCAGTCACAGCAAATTTAATTTTGAATATAGGACCTGAACCAATAAATACACCACTCCATCAAAATTGGATACATAGACGCACAGCGTTAATACAAACAACATTAGATGGCGCAGCACAAAAATGGTTTTCAGTACTACCTATAGAAATAAAATCATATTGGAAAAGATTCGCACAAGAATTTTCAAAAATGTTTGATTCTGAAAGAAACAAACAACATCAAAGAGTTTTATGCAATGAAATTCGCAGAATACCAAATGAAACAATAATACTATTAGCAGTTCGAATCGAAACACTAGTTCGAAAAGCATATTCACCTAATACACATGATTATAAGAATACAAAAATGACAGAAATCTTAAGGATGACCTTAACACCACAATTAAGGAAAATTGCTATAAAGAAAAGAGCATCTCATCCTTCCTCAATTCGAGAACCAGATCTAGATTTCAAAAAACTAGTCGATAAACTAGAACAAGCAGAAATCACAATGAAACTCGAAGAAACCGAGAATTTAAAATTACAGTATGTTAATCGTATTGAAACAAAGACTACACACATTAACAACATACAAGAATCAGATATAGACCTATCTGAAAAAATCACTGAAATTTTAAACATCTATGAAAAGAACCCAAATTACAAAGGCAAA